AGGAAACGTTAACATAAGAATTGTATGGCATTCCAGAAAAGACAAAATTATAGAGACAGCAAAGATTGTGTCTTTTGGGAGCTAGGGGAGACAGGAATTAATATTCAGAATAAAGGTTTTTAGACAGATAATCCACTTTGTGTAGTACTATACTGGTGGATACATGGCACACAGTTGTCTATACCCATAAGATATACACAAAAAGTAAACGCACGTGCACCTGCATGGCTCTTGGAATGAAGAAACAGCAGACACCCACATCCAGAAAAGCTGAGATCGGGTGCACTGTGCTCTCTAACAGAGACACAGCAGCAGCCCGGAAACTCGGCTCATTTATTGGATACCACTAAGGAGAGTTCATGGTACACAGCTGGACAAGGAGGAAGGTTTACTACACACAGACACTGAGGAGATGGGCTAGTTCATCTTGGCGGGTATTCTCTCTAGGTATTCTCAGGTTTGCCCAGGAGGAGGACGCTGCGATTCACAGTTTCAACATTCACTGGTTTTAGCTGTCAGTCACTCCGAACACCCGCCTGCAGACTGAGGAAGGCTTTGTCCTCCCTCTGCTCCCCACCCAGGGAAGGCTTTGCTATTTTCCTGGGTCTGAGGAACTGGGGTCCTTGACATGACAGTAACGCACATTCACTCAGGACTTCATTCAGTCCCCACACACGTGAACTTGGGTGTTATTTCTGGGTCCATTGTGACAAATGTGCCCTTCTGGTGGGGAATGTTGTCAATAAGGAAAGCTATGCCTATGCTGGACAGAAGACAGTGAAGAGTCTGCTCGGTCCACTCAACTTTCCAGTGAGTCTAAAAGTACTTGAAAAAATAAACCTCTTTAATGAGAAAGGGGCTATGCTATACAGGCCTTTTTTTATTGCTATTATTTTATTTTTCTGTCAAGCCAGTTTACTGTCATTTACAAACATCTTTAGTCTGTGACAGATGTGGGGAAAGGAGTTGTTCTTTTGTCCCAAATTGAGTTGCTCTGTCCTTAACCAAAAGCTCTGGTCCCAAAGTGGGAAGTACTGGCCTCTCACCTCGGCTGCACAATTAATACCACGCCTCAGTTCCCTCACGTGCAAAGTGAGCGGAGAGGGTAACCAGATTCCACCAGTTAGGCCTTCAGCAAACAATCGGTTCCTGCGGTAAAGGAGAACAGGAGGCAGCTGGAACTCAGAGCCTCCTCCCCAAAACCTCACCACAGGCAGGACTCTTAGGAAAGCAAGCCTTCAGGCAACTGCCAGCCAGACATGCCTGAGCTAGTCTTCATGAAGTGTAAAAGCTTGGGAAAGTCCTTCTCTGTGGCCTCAGACGCCAAGACATCGAGCTTGCTGGAACAATCTGAAGGAGCAACCCCCGTCCTGGTTTATCCTGTGCCAATGTCACAGAGTGGGCACCGTGTTCTCACTCATTGAAGCGGAGCCAACCATGATTGTACAGTGTTCTAGCCAGCCAGCCATCCTGAATGACATTTACTTCACCTGTGAAGACTTACTTCGCCATTTCTATGCTCAGTAATCAATGCTCTGGTATCATTCTGATGTCACATTTAAAATCCTTTGTCCCCACCTCTGGATCTCTATGGTACTTTAATACAGAACAGCCTACCCTCTACACATTCAGGTAGCCCATGGGCACATATGCTCATTGTTAATACCCCAGTATTTGAGAGTATTTCTTATTTACACACACACACACACACACAAAAAGCAGGGAAATGAGTGATATTAATTACTTCTAAGTACCCCTAAGATAAATATTCATAAAATAGTGTAGTATCATCAATATTGTATTATTACAGAAAGCGTAGAGGTGAAGGAAGAAAATAAAGTCTTCGCCAACTGCTTCAGGTTCTAGAATTACATGAGACATTTTGACACTGCAGAGGCAATTCTGATAAACTGAGGCAGGTCTCTGCCTCCCGGTAGCCCTTTGGGTGGTGCTCTCAGGTTTCGTATCTTTCCCCTTTGGCTTGTCACTAGCAACAGTGTCCTCAGGAAGGCTGTCATGGAATATTTAACTGGATAAAGATGTGTTACACTTGTTTATGTTGCAGGATACAACTTTAACTATGTGAAGGGGTGTTACGTTTGTTTCTTGCCTTTGTTAACGATGTAAGGATGTGTTACATTTGTTTATGCTGCATTAGTTTAATTATGTAAAGATGTGTTGCATTTGGTTCCCCTTGCCTGCCTAAGGCACCTGATTGGTCTCATAAAAAGCTGAACAGCCAATAGCTAGGCAGGAGAGAGCTAGGCGGGGCTGGCAGGCAAAGAATAAGTAGGAGGAGGAATCCAGGCTCAAGAGAGAAGAAGAGAGTGGGGGAGAAAGAGAGGGATACGCCTGGGGCCAGAAGCCAGGCAGCCGACAGACAGACAGACAGACAGGAGAAGCAGCAAAAGTAAGATATACAAAAAGAAAGGTAAAAAGCCCCGAGGCAAAACATAGATGAGATTAAATTATGAGAGTTAGTGCGTCAAGCATAAGATAAGGCTGAGCATTCATAACTAAGAAGTCTCTGTGTCATGATTTGGGAGCTGGTTGGTGCCACTACCACCACCACCACCCCGGTGCCCCCCAAAAGCCTGCTACAGATGGCCAGGACCATCTTTGTACCATGCCTCAAAGTTTCCCACTTCTGACATCTAGCCGTCCACGACCCTGAGCCTTTGAGGTATTCCGTGACCCAATGGTGGCAGTCAGAGGCAACCAGCAAGGGGCTGGGGCAAGAAGTTGGAAAGAGGTGCACCTAGGGAGGAAAATGGAGTGGGGGCTGGACAGAGGGGGTGTAAGGTCAGGCCACACACGGGGGTGCGCAGCACCTCGCTTATCAACCTTGGTAAGCTGAGAACGCCCGGGCCTCACTTGGAGAAGACTGGAGTGAATGCTCCAGGAAGTGGCGACAGGGGCAGCCACAGGGGCAGCCTACCATGCCAGCAACTAGCAGTGATGCCAGAGGTCGACACTGCAGAGACTCACCGGGAAGACAGGGCAGCAGACCAGCCTCTGGTGATAAGCTACCTCATGACACTCAGGACTTCTAGAGAAGTCAGAAGATGTGTGCCTCACTCAGGATGGGGTGGAGATGGTAGGAACAGAAATTGCCCTTTTGGGAAGTCCCTGTGAATCTCCCCTAATGCGGCTCACTCGCACAATCCGCCAGAGCCAGCCTGTTCGTGACCCTTCATGTCTCCCTTATTTCTAGATGTTTCCAAAGCGTACTTTTCACCACAGTTCAGTGACCCCAGAGCTCACTCCAATGCCCACTCTGGCTCCAATGCCAGTTAATGTGGTGGCGGGGGGGATGAAGAGTTAGAGAGAGGAGCCCCATGAAGCAGAAAGCTCAACAATGTTCTTACAGAAACAGGAGACCACTTTGTATGAATGTCAGCTCTGCCCCTTGGCTTGTGTGTGACCTTGGGCAAGTCATGCAATATTATTATCCTATAAAATGCAGACAAAGAAGCCAGGCGGTGGTGGCGCACGCCTTTAATCCCAGCACTCGGGAGGCAGAGCCAGGCGGATCTCTTTGAGTTTGAGGCCAGCCTGGGCTACCAAGTGAGTTCCAGGAAAGGCGCAAAGCTACACAGAGAAACCCTGTCTCAAAAAACAAAACAAAACAAAACAAAAAATGCAGACAAAGAGCAGCTTCCACCAAACAGGCTGTGATGAGCATCAAACAAGAATTTAACACCCTCATCATAGTACTGAGGTGGGGCCCCTGTAAGAACCAAGTGCTCACCTCCCAGGCAGCCTGATTCCAGTTCCTTCCTTCCTCGCCCATCTAAATTAACTATTTTCCAAGTAGCACAGTAATCCTTTAAAAATATGATTAAGCTTATCTTTCTTGTTTTAGAAACTTCCGAGGTATCTCACTGTTAGCATAGAACACTGTTGGAGAATATTATTTTAAGGTGTATGTTGCATTTGTTTAACTCTGTGAAGCTGTGTTACTGTGCCTGTGTAAAACACCTGATGGGCTAATACAGAACTGGCCAGTAGCAAGGCAGGAGAAAGGAAAGGCAGGGCTGGCAGGCAGAGAGTATAAATAGAAGGAGAAAACTGGAGCGAGGAGATGGAGGAAGAGCCAGAGAAGGGGTGGACATCAGGGGCCAGCTACACAACCAGCAAGTCATGGAGTAAGAGTTAGATTTACAGAAGTAAGAGAATGGGAATGGCCCAGACAGAATAATTTAAGATAAGGAAAGCTGGCTAGAAACTAAGCCAAGCTAAGGCCGAGCATTCATAAGTAGTAATAAGCCTCTGTGAGTGAATTTATTTGGGAGCTGGGTGGTGAGCCCCCCTGCCCCCCAAAAGAGCAAAAACCTCCAACAATAGAACACAGTTTGTCAGGCTCCTATCCAACGATCCTTCAATACACATCTGTGGTCACTGGTATGCCTGGCCTCTTGTCTCTGCCTGGAACCGAAGAATACCCGGTCCTCCAAGGTATGACCCAGCTCAAACATCATTTCCTCAAAGATGCACTCCCTCACTGCCGGCTCACTTCTTAGTACTAATCCCATCAGTAACTGCTTTATTGATTTCTGTTTATAGCCCCACGAGAATACAGGTCCATGGTGCCTTTCAGCCTAGCATTATAAAATTCAGCCCAGGGCTTGCCTAATGCATTGTTATCTGTGGGGTTCAGGGACTGTGGAAATTAAACTAGCTTGGTGGCCAATTGGGCACCCTGAATACCACATCCCCAAGCTCCAAACCTCTATGACAGTGGTTCTCAACCTGTGGGTCGTGACCCCTTCGGCAAACCTCTAGCTCCAAAAAAATATTTTTTTACATTTTGATTCATAACAGTAGCACAATTACAGTTCTGAAGTAGCAACAGAAATAATTTTATGGCTGGGGGGCTCACCACAGCATGAGGAAGTGGTATTAAGGGGTTGCAGCATTAGGAAGGTTGAGAAGCACTGCTTTATGAGTTAAGGCCTGGTCAACTGAGTGCACGGAAGTATGACACACGGAGCCCAGAGTTCCAAAGTAACACTTTATTCTGTTCGTTCTTAGGTGGTCTAGTTTGCAAGCATGAATAAATGGGATCAACCACAGTCCTCTCCCTTAATGCCCTTCATTAAAAAATCACCATTTAGCAGGTCTCCGGTTTTTCCTCAAGAGGGTGGGATTGGGGGGTAACCCAAAGGAGGCTGGAGGACTGCAGTCACATGGGGTTAATCCTCATGTCTCCTGCCAATTCCTCTCACTGAGCAGCCAAAGGCCACAGGCAGCTATAAATAGCCCAGCAGCTCTCCCCTTACAGCAAGGGAATGAACTTGGCAACAACAAGAGCCATAAGGGGTGAGGCAGGCAGAGACTCTTGAGCCTGTTTTCTGCTCACCCAGTGCGTGCCCCGGGGATGCCGCAAGATGCAGCAGAAAATGGAGAGCTCCACGCTTTCACTTCCAACTGGGAGCACACCTACCGGAAGGGACCTACTTCACCCCAGTTCACCTTAGTGCCCTCATCAGCACAAAAAGGAGCCAAAGAGCAGGAATAAATGTTCTCCCAAGGACCCCTGTTGAAAGGTTCCCAGGAGGGACCCCCAACTCCCAGAAAGTAAACAGCACTGAGGAAGGACATCCATCCTTTGGACTGGCCTTCCATGTCCCTCAGTTCACAGGACAGTCTCTCGAATGACACCGATGAGGCTGTGTGGCCGCTCAGCCTCAGCTCGCTGCTGGGGTCTCCTCTCAGCTTTAGGCCTTCCCACCAGGGAGAAGGTGCTCAGGTCTCCACAGCTGCGAAGGTGCAGCACACCTGGCTGTCTCCTCGAGGTCAGCACATGGGCCTGGGAAGTGCTGGGCTGTGATGGGGCCATTATCTTTGGGAAAAGAGAAGGGAAGATGTTAACTTTACCAGGGCTGGCCTTCCGACCCACCCCCTTGTGTCTGTCTGTGGATGTTAATGTTTAGTTGCTTCAGAATAGAAAGGGGTATTTTCCAAAGTAGAATCTATTTAGAATTCCAAATATGGCGCCCAACATGGGGCTCGAACCCACAACCCTGGGATTAAGAGTCCCATGCTCTACAGACTGAGCTAGCCAGGCTGGTGTTTCCGCAAAGTGCTGTGAGATGTTCTGTATGTTAAATGTGTTGCTCTGATTGGTTAATAAATAAAACACTGATTGGCCAGTAGCCAGGCAGGAAGTATAGGCAGGACAAGGAGAAAAGAGAATTCTGGGAACAGGAAGGCTGAGGCAGAGAGATGCTGCCAGCCACCATGATGAGGAACAGGATGTAAAGTACTGGTAAGCCACAAGCCACCTGGCAAAGTATGGATAAATAAAAATGAGTTGACTTAAAATAGAAGAAGTAGATAACAAGAAGCCTGCCACGGCCATACAGTTTGTAAACAATGTAAGTCTCTGTGTGTTTACTCGGTTGGGTCTGAGCGGCTGCAGGACTGGCAGGTGAGAGAGATTTGTCCAGACCATGGGCCAAGCAGGACTGGAAAAAACTCCAGCTACACAAAGAATTTTAAACTTCGCCTCTTTTGTAAAGTTTTGAAGAAATTCTCCTAATTTTCCATTGTTTCAGCAGTAGACAAGCCATATAAAATGACTCAATTGTACTTTGTTGTTTTATTATTAACACTGTTCTCTTCATATTTCTCCAATATCCCTGTGTTCCCAGTCAGGGACTCCTAGTAATGGAGAGGGATGTGGGTAGTATAGCCTGCTAGGGACATCAAGTCTCACCTGCCACCTATTCTGACATTCTACATGGATGCTTGGTTTTGTTTTTGTTTTTGTTTGTCTGTCTGTCTGTCTGGTGTGTGTGTGTGTGTGTGTGTGTGTAACATACTCTGTGAATGTGTAGACCAGAGCTGACATTCAGTGTCTTCGACTATTATTCTCCACCTCATTTTTTGGAGAGTCTCTCTCACTGCACCTGATGCTGGCCATTTTGGTTAGACTGAGTGGCCAACAAGTCCCCAGGAGCTGCCCGAGCTGCAGGCCAGTGCCGCCATGCCTTGTTTTTACATAGATACTGAGGATCCAAACATTGGTCCTCATGCTGGCACAGCTCCAAGCCTGGGATTTTTAACAAGAAGCAGGTGGTACTAACACAGAAACACTGGTCTGGATCAGGTAATAAGTTTATAGAATGCCAATTAAGATCAGTGGTGCTTCAGATGGATTGATAAACCTTGGGGAAACAGCCTAAAAAGGAGGACACTATCTGCAAGAGCCAGAGAAGGGCTCTAGTGCCAGGCCTGTCTTTAATGTGTCATAGAACTTTAAACACATAACATAGGACGTACTTCTCAAAAACGCAAAAATATAGACTATTTCTCACTCAGCTAGGACTGATGAGGGAGGACTGGCTGGCTGGCAGATCTGTGGAAAGCTGAACTGTCTTGTCACTGTGGTGTGTGATACTGTTAGTGCCTTGAAAGAATCAGGAGTCTTACCGCCAGGGACCCTCACAGGACAAAGTCACTCTGTTTCAGTCTGATTTTTTGAGGCCATTTACACATTTAATACCCACAAAAGCTGTGATATTAAATTTTGCTAACACTGTTAATTATATTCATCTATAAGGCCTGTTCCTGTCTCCCAATTAAGAAGACAATTGTACTGTTTATCAAATTGGACTATTATAAGACAAATGTTTTATTTATTTATTTATTTATTTATTTATTTATTTTACTGGGAATGAGTAAAGTGGATCTAAAGGAAGTGTGGAAAGCTGAGGGGAGCTGGAAATAAAATGTACTCTTGCATTGTCCTTGACTCCTTTTGTCTGGGGAGGGGTGTGGCACTGATACCCCCATGTGGGGTTCAGAAGCAGAAGGCCTCAGCTGATGACCCAGAGTCCGTAACAATAACCTCCATACTTGAACTTTCATCTGGTCTGGGGCAAAAGATTGTAGAAACAGGTGCTTTCGAGAGCCTCTTCCTCCTTTACCCCAGAGCTAACTGCCAGGGATCAGGACTGGAAAAGTGCAGATCGAGCGCCTGGTAGGTGCGCTGGCACCGTCCTCGCCACACTGTCGGCCTTCGAGAAGCAACTCCAAATGCTTGCTCCTGTTAATGGGCCACTGGGGCCAGACAGAGGGAAGAGGCAGGAATGACTGCCGGAGCACCTCAGAGATGTCAGGAGAGAAATGGACGCCGACGCAAGCTGCAGCCTGACCTGGAGCCACTGACTGACCGCTCCTGAAGAGCAAGCCGCAGGAGGGTGTGGAAGCCACGCACCCCCTCTAACTCCTCAGAACAGTCTTTTCCCACGGGCCTCTGGGGGAGCGGGAGAGAATCCGACTTTGAATTTGGGTAAAAAAAAAAAATAGATAGACAGACAGACAGACAGATGCCAATGAGTGGAAAGGAGGAACAGAAAGGAAAGTCAGGTGGATTGTTCAAATCTCCCTGGAATGAAGTAGTGATTACACTGAGATCCAGCCCAACTCAGCGTAAGACACACCGGTTGGGCACTCCAACTACAAAGACGCAGAGCGGTAACACTGGGCATCGCGGTGTTCTATGTCCGCAGCATCGCCCCACTGACCCAGAAGAACGAGCAAACAGCCAACCGGTAACAGCAGCTCCCCGAAGGGTAAGGAGAAGGTTCTAGCTGGGAGGAAATTCCACTTCCCTGGAGACACAGGGCTGGAGATTACCTTGCCCAACCCTTCCCTTTAAAGATGAGAAACCCCAGGCCCAAATGGATTCCATGCACGCCTGTTTTGTCTTTTCCCAAGGTGGCTTCAGTTTAGGGAGCCTTTTACTTTTTAATCTATGGAAAGAAAGGTATTTGTTCCTCTAAGTCCTATCAACTAACTTGCCTGGCCCAGTAACTCGTGGGCACGTGAACAGCTCCTAGTCCCCTGCCAATCTTGAGATTCCGTCATCATTTTTAAGGGCTGAGACAACCCCACATCCTGGGCAGCCTCCCACAGAGGAAACCATAAGCGGGGTGAACTCTATAGTGTTCAGATCCTTTGCTTTTTACTAGGCATGCTTCTACCTTTCAGAAAATGGGGTTCTCTTCCCTTGGGCCAAGAGCACTGTAGAAAAGGCATGAAGCCCAGAAGGAAAGCTCTGTGGTTTCCTCTCTAATGACATGAACCCCAGGCTCAGGTCCCTGGAGCCTATAACCATGGATGTACTTCAGCCACGGTAGACACCAGTTACTAGCTGAGCGCCTACTATTGATCATAATAACAGTACCTGTTCTAGGAAACTGGCACTTGTGATGGCTTCCTCCATGTGCTCCTCATCAGACTTCAGAACAGACTTTATGTTTTCTACAAGTTCATGGATGTCCGGAGTCATGCTGCAGGAGGACTGCTCCAGGAACCTGGCCACTAGCAGCTTGGTGTCTATGTAAGACCTGTAATCTATCAAAGAGCGGGGTCTGCATCTCGATGCCCTTGGCCTCACACTTCTCCTCAGGGTCACCGCCGCCAGATCTAGCCTCCTGTCTGTCTGAGTTGCAGCTTCGCAGCTGAGCACTGGGGTGGCTGTGAACAGAAGGAAATAACATGTCAGTATTGGCCAAGCCCCCTCTAGACACGGGCCGTGAATCTCAGTGCAGCCAACATCCAGCAGATGCCTGAGGCCATGCATGTATATCTCACCTTCATCTTAAAGAAGGAAAGGAATGATGGCAGATGATACCTACACAAGCCATTGTGTGACGTGTACTTGCAATAGGCTACGTCCTGAGACACCGAACCATGCACATAAACAGTTCCCAAGGCAAAGATGGATGACACAGCACAGAATTCACAGGGCAAACCACAGCGCAGTGTGTTTCATAGAGTACAGCTGGTAGATCGGAATGGATGGCCAAGCAGAAAAAAACATGGTGGACCAGTGAAAGCATGGTGGTGGTATGGAAGGTATGGAAGAGTGGAAGAGAGAAGGAACTGATGAGAGACTTGTAGGATGGTCACAAAGTTTACCGTCACAGTACCTTTGTCCTAAACATCCTCAAGGGCACTGTACTGACTTCTATTACCAAGGCTCATCCCACGGCTATGAGGCAGATCTATGGCTATTACATAAAACTCAGGTGCAGAAAGTTACATCATTCCAGAAGTCAAAAGAGGGTCTCGAAATCCGCCGCAGGCGCTAATTTCCACAGCTGCCTCCATCAGTAAAGGTATAAAGACTGATAAGGAGCTATTTCACCATGAACCGGGTGAAGAAATGAATACTCGGGTCTGATCCCCATGTGTCCATAAGCCACCATCAGCCTTCAGTGCGCACAACTTGAATCTGTAAAGACCTCATAGGTGGGGATTTAGATGTTGATGGAAGCAGGAAGCAGAGGGTGGAAGAGCAGGTGGAGGAAGGGAATGTTTCCTTTTCCTCTGGAGAAAGGTAGACAAGAGTTCTGAACCAGGGATAGAAACTGTCCTTCCAGCTTGCCGTGTGCATGTTATAGACAACGAGTCTTCTAAACACCCAGAAACACAGGCTAAAGCCACGTGGGGACCGAGTGGGGTTTACACTCACTCACTGAAGGCAATGTGGTGCCTTCCCTAGCAAAATAAGTCAAAGGGTAAATGTCCTTTCCTCCACGGGCCTGCAGAATTCAAAGGGAGTCGAGGAAGGTCTCCATTTGCTGTGCAAACAGCTAAGTGCTCCTGGATGCTGGCACACAGTCTGCTCGAAGACTCAACTTGCCAGGTAGGATACAGGAAATGCACAATGAAGGTTGGGTCTGTAACTAGAGGCCAGGCTGTCAAGCCTACTGGTTTGCAGAGGCACACAGCTAGTCTCAGGAGGCGGGACTTCCTTCCCACCTGGAAACTGCTGCAGAGACAAGGGAAGTGTCCTCTGTGGCTTCCATATGGTCAGTCCAGAGCTGTGACAAATGACACTCAGTGTCAGAGGGACAGAACAGAGACCACAAGAACCAGACAGGACCCAAGAGAGCAAGGTTAGAGACTGTCCAATTAATCCGCACACAGTTTCCGAAGAGCAGAATACAGCTACTAGACTAATTTCCCAAAAGAGGCCTCTGCTGGCTGAATTACAAAAGCTGTTCACTTTATTCCTTTGCTTCCTTTAACGAGAGATGTTTGTAGATATTAAGGTATTCATAAATCCCAAAAAGGCTCAGTGTTATTATTTTGAAAATTTTAAATTATTCAACATCTAAACTCAAGCAAAACCCAAAGCAAAGAAGGGGGGAGATGAATGAAGCAGGTGAACATGTTTCACTATATCCGAAGTTTTTAAAACATGATCGGATTTCAATAATTAAGACTACTCAAGCACAGTAAAAAAGATAACAAATACAAGATCATGGAGCCAAAGAGTGAAAACATATGCACCTTGACTGGTTCTCATATGCCTGCCAGCAACCAGGAATCAGGATACGGTTTACATAATAATTCTGCAGTTGTGCCCAGCACAGCATCATGGGCAACCAAAATAGCCAATGACTTCAGGAACAAATTCTACTAGCCTAAAACAAAGTGCCAGGGCCAGTAAGATGGCTCATCAGCTAAAGACACTTGCCTCCAACATGGCCACCTGGGCAGCATCCCCAGGACCCACATGGGGAAGAGAACTGACCCATACAGGTTGTCCTCCAACTTACACCAATGCACCAGAGTGCACCCACCCTCCCCCGAAACACACAAATGATTTCTTTTATTTTAAAGACATACCACATGCATTTTCCAAATGTGAATGTAGAGTATCTAATTCTTCCCATGGCCTCTTAACCTCCCTCAAGATACTGCTTAAAACTTGCCAGGGCCCTCAGCTAGCAAGAGCTACCTGATTGTACCTGGCCCCTTCAACCAATACTTAGCACCAGTCAGAGAAACACAGTGCTCTAGCAAGGGCCTGGGGAATGACATCACCTCTCTCCTCCGAGTGGTGAAGCAAAGGGTCGCTTCTTGACCTTGTCCTCAGAGGTGGGAAGGCCCTCCGGCTCCTGGGAGGTTGCACCAGGATGGAAACGGGAGTTGATGCAGACGTGTTTTCTTCACCAGCTGTATTAGGAAGAACCCCACCTGATTTTTAAAAAAGAAAAAAATAAGAGAAACACGTTATTTCAGCAGCTGCAGCCCTCAAAATGTTGGTCAGGAAACACCTGTGGGCCCAAGCGTGCCAAGGCAAGAGTGATATAATTAATAACATTTACTTAGGCTGGTGGCCCAGGCAGTTTTTCCTTCCCAGCTCCAGGGCAAAGCCTTCATCACCAAATCGCCCTGCCACACTTAAAACAAGCCAACAAGGACAATGATTAAGGCCAAGGCGCAGAATTAGGAGGCCAGGTGAGCCCATCAGTTTGGTCTGTTTCCTAGGGGTGTTCAGGATCTTTCTCGCCAGGACATCCTGCTGCAGCCTCCAGGGGCACCTGAGCATCTAGCTCTTCAGGGAGGTGCCACCCACATGGGTGAGGGTGTTACCCAAGACTAGGGGATGCACATCTGCCTGGCCCAGAGCGTACCCAGGTTGGGACACTCTCAACAGCCCAGCTAAGGGAACCAGTGGCTGCAAAAATGCATCAATAAATCACACTGGAATTGGATGGTCCCTGCTCAGGAAATGCTGCTACATCAATTGGAAAGCTCAGTTTCTGATCTGAAAAGTCCTTGTTAAAAATAAATAAATAAATAAATAAATAAATAAATAAATGATAAATAAGAGTTGCAAACATGTTTATTAAGGGGAGAGGATACTGTTTTAAGATTCTTCTTAAGGCAGGTTGTAGCTAAGTGGCAGGGCACAGTCTGCCCTGTCCCAGATGTAGGGTGGATAGAAAAATGTTCCAAACAGCACTACTGAAAAGCTACCTCCATCGGAAATGGCCCAAGTCAATCCATTATTCATTGCCATCTGCAATTTTGTACCAGTGGACAATTCTCTAGGCCATTTAAAACCTCCCCAAAGACAGAAAGCTGGGACAACGGTGTCCTTAAATTACAAGGATAAATGTAAATTGACTCTAGCATAGGCCACAGGACTGAAAAATCTTAATTCTCTACGCATTAAAACCCTTGGTTGTAAATGACAGGGTGAATACACACTGCAATACATGAAACTCATGTTTTTAAAGGAGCCCAGCTCATTTTAACAGAACAAAAAAATAGATTAGGAAACACAGGAATCACAAATTCACCTCCACTCCATTCCAGGGGTTCCTGAGGATAGTCTGATTAGTCATAAAAAGATTATAAGCGCTTATCTTTATTTCAGAATGCTTTTTCTTCTTCCTGTTCACATTTTAGATCTTACTTCTAAGCCCTGAGAGCTGACAGTATTTTGGCCCTGACAAGAGGATGTGGGCTGAACCATTTGCTCCAAGAATACTTTACCTCCAGCAAATCGCTGGTCCGAGCACTCAGTAGATGTTCTAACCTACTGAATTATGGCTTGGGGAAGTGAAGATGTGCGTTACCTTGAGTCATTTGTGTGCAAACTGGCTCCAGGGGGCTCGCAGCAGCTTCTGGTCCTTCTGGCGTTGGGAATGAAGACTCCTGCATCACAAAGGAAGGGAGAAAGAGTATTTGGCTCTTTATGATGTTCAAATCACCGCTCAGAGGACCTCAGTAAACTCCTTCAGATGATGTGAGTGCATCATCTGCGTGAGGCGTACCGCCCGTTTCCTCTGGACATACCTGTTCCTGGTCGATCTGGCTCACCACAGCTTCATACGGAGGTGGGGGTTCCAGAGGACAGAACACTTCCACACCCTTGATTCGTGCTCCATAGATGTGTGGCAGAGGGATGACATCAGGACCCACCATCCTAGAAAAAAGCACCTGGGCATCAGGAGGCATGCTCTGCACACTGGGCACACTCTGCACCCTGCAACTAACTGGGCCCTCTGCCTTGGCCCTAGGCTGGGGAGAAACCACTCACAGTGGCTCAGTCCAGAAGAGGATAACCACCCACGCTGTCACAGGAAAATGCTCAGGGGTCCCCATAGGCACATGGCAGTGTATAAAATGTAACGCTTTTTTTCCTTCTAAGTACACCAGTGGAAACACAAACAACAGTCCATGGAGACAGAAAGCATGGGTGATTGCCAGGCTCTGGGGGAAGGGGACTGAGGACTGTTTATGTGTTACGGACTTTGAGTGAGATAGAGGTGGTGGTTGCACAATGTGGTGAATATGCCAAGTGCCACTGAATCATACAGTTAACAGTCAAATCAACTAAGGATAAGAGAAATCTCAGTTCTCTCCTGTATTAGTACGCAGCAGTTTCTTGCCTTGGTTTCCTTAATGTCTGACTCATGAGAGAAATTCACTGTTAATTATTTAAAAGGAATTAATTTGAAACAAAAGGTGAGCAATGCCACAGCTTGAGGACAAAACAGGAGCCGGCAGAAAGGATCCCAGAGTGACTCCCACATCTTCCTCGGGTAGGCCTTCGACACTCCCTGACAAATGATGTGCCTGGTGTGCGGGACTGGGTAAAATTTAAAAACAGCGTCATATTAAGGACAGTGAAAGAGGTGGGTTAAGGTTGGCATTCTCTTTTTCTCTGAACTTGATATAGCAAATGCGGCTGGGCTGACAAAAAGGTCGGCATTCATTTGGAATACGGACACCCCACTCCCAACCACAAAGCTAGAGGTCACTGGCAATTTCAGCAGAGAAACTTTGCAAGAGCCTCAGGATTACCAAGACACAGAGAGGCCGACTTGAGACAAAGTTACTCTATGTGATGCCAACATGATTGAAAAGCCAGCTGCTGTTTTCCGGGTTAAAGCTAATGTCTCCTGGAGCTCTGCTTCCTCCTGCAACCAATCCTGCTGGCTTCGACTCTTCCCACTGTTCTTCATCACCCTTCTCTTGCTCCAACACTTCCATTCTTTAAGTCGGGATAAATGGGGTTCCTTAGAAGGTACGATCCGCTACACTTAGCAATGCAAACATATGATGCCACTGCGTTAGCACAGAATTACTATGAATCACTCAACCATAGCTCCCCTTTCCCACCTGCCTTTCTCCCAAAGTTAGGTGCTTTCCTCTTTTAAGCAGGTCTTAAGGAATAGTTTTTTGGTTGTTTGTAGAGGGCACAAGGTCCCTGTGCTCACAGATAAGCACTAGGAAACCCAGAAATGTTAAACATTCAGGCTTGTCTCTTCAAAGGAAGAAATGTGTGACCTGTTTTCTGCCCCGACGGCTGAGAATGGAAGTGGTTAAAAGCCTTGGTGACCTCTGTGCTATTTGTATGACCAAGGCCACATCTGACTCCCCTAGACTCTTACAAACAAGACTAGAGATGGTTAACAGCCATCTTTTATTGCTGTGAAGAGACACCATGACCATGGCAACTCTTATAAAGGGAAACATTTAATTGGGGCTGGCTTACAGTTTCAGAGGTTCAGTCCATTATTGTCATGGCAGGAAGCACGGTAGCATCCAGGCAGACAGGGTGCTGGGGAAGGAGCTAAGAGTTCTACATCTTGATCCATAGGCAGCAGAAGGAAACTGTGTGCTGGGAGTAGCTTAAGCATATGAGACCTCAAAGCCCACCTCACAGTGACACACTTCCTCCAACAAGGCCACATCTCCTAATAGTGCCACTCCTTATGGGCCAAGCACTCAAACACATGAGTCTATGGGGGCCATTCCTATTCAAACCACCACAATAGCCTAGGTGCCCTCTACACTGTCTGTATGACAGAGACCACACCAGATCATTTGGTCTATCTATAGAACCCATCTTTAGGGGCTGAATAGATGCTTCAGTGGCAAGGAACACTGGGTGCTCTTCCAGAGGTCCTGAGTTCAATTCTCAGCAATCATATGGTGTCTCACAACCATCTATAATGAGATCCAATGCCCTCTTCTAGCATGCAGGTGTACACGCAGACAGAGCACTTACATAAAATACATAAATAAATCTTAAAGACTTAAAACCTAAAATCTTAAAACTCACTTATGGAAGAAGTGACATGTACTTTGAAAAGAGTTTCAATGTAATTATATTTTAAACTTTATTGTGCACACCAGGAAACTTTTTTCCAAATTGTACTGTACTTAAATATGTTTGGTGTTAGATTCTAGAAATTTGAGCCAACATTGGCTATTCAACCAGACTTCCTTCCTACCCCATGTGGATCAACACTCTGCTTGCCACAGTGTTTGCAGAGACACCCACACATACACACACACACACACACACACACACACACACACACACACACACACACTGTTTGTTCTGTTTTCTGTGGTAAAGGGACCCTTGACAACAAAATAAAAAGCAAAACCAAAACTCACAAGATTCCCTGCCAATATTTACAGCAAATAATCAAAAGAAGAAAAGACACCAATAGAAAACAGGGAACTGAAATTTTAAAGTAATTAAAAATTATGAAAAGGCAAAAAAAAAAAAAAAGTAAAAACAAAACAGAGAAGCCTGTACTCAGGCTGTACTAGAGAATAGAAATAAACAATCCACCCATTATAACAGTGTCTGTTCTTGGAATATGAAAAAAAAGGAAAGGAGGGAACCTTATAGAAATTGGTGAAACGAAAGATTGAAGGCCAGATGCATTTGAGAGACTGATTTTGAGGGGGAGAGGCAGTTACTGGATTTAAAATTCATTCTATTCCTTGTGCCCATTCCCTGGAAGAGAAGGGTCGAGGTTTTCTATTGGCACCTGACTCAGGGTGTTCCCAGTGTGGGTATATAAGGTGCCAAGCATCAAGTTCGCAAAGGAATCCCATGAAAGATTTCCTGGGCTGGCTGGAGAATTTCTAACAAAGCTCTCCTGAGTGGGCATCCTCCTTACACAAGGACTCGGGCATGTATTTCATCCCAACTCTCCTACCCAGCTCATACTGTTTAAGACTCCAACTGTTGAGTGACTCCAAGAAACTAGACCTTCCTAGATTTAGTGGAGGAATCCTGACCAATGAACAGCATAGCTGTTTGAATCAGGGAGGCCTACTTTCTCCTTAGAGGGCCAGTCTTCAGTCTTTAATCAGTACAACCCCATGCATCACCACTCTAGCACTTATAAACCCCCTGCCTTTGCCCTTCAGCAAAGGCAGAAGATGGCTGCGTCCCTTGCCTAGGGCATTACCACCCCCAGCACTGCTTGTCTGTCTGTTATGATAGTCTTTGGCATTCCCAACCCATTGACAACCATTGTATCCATAGTGGTAAAGACATTCCCAACCCACTGATTACCATTGCATCCACAGAGGTAAGGACATTGCCAACTCATTGACTACCATTGCATCCACAGAGGTAAGGACATTCCCAATCCACTGACTACCATTGTATCCACAGAGGTAAGGACATTCCCAATCCACTGACTACCATTGTATCCACAGAGGTAAAGACATTCCCAACCCTTTGACTACCATTGCATCCACAGAGGTAAAGACATTGCCAATCCATTGATGACCATTGCATCTACAGAGTTAAGACGGGATTTCCAAGCATCAAGAGGTCAGGCGAGCAGGCTTTCATTTTAGATGCTAAACTACCACAGAATCTCTTCCAGAAGGAAACCCAGAAGTTGGGGAGGGCATTTTATACAATGTGATCACAAAACGAAATACTCCTAGGGTGGTTATGATGACCACTGATGCTGTACTTTGATGGACGACACCTCAGAGTCAGTACCGAAGGAAAGTCTCTCTCCAGGTAAGTCACTTCTTACCTTATATCACGGGGAAAATAAGAGTTCATGGAGACCATGGTGGTTGGACTAGAAATGGCCCCCATAGGCTCAAATGTTTGAATGCTTTGTCATCAGGGAGTAGCACTAGTTTGGAGGGATTAGGAGGTATGGCCTTGTTGGAGTAGGTGTAATCTTGTTGAAGGAAGTGTGTCATTGAGGGTGCACTTTGAGATTTCAAGGACTCAAGCCAGGCCTAGTGGCTTTCTCTCTTCCTGCTGCCTGCAGATCCAGATGTAGAACTCTCAGATACCTCCCCAGCACCATGTCTGTCTGCCTGCTGCCAAGCTTCCCACCATGACGATATGGACTAAACCTCTGAAACTATAAGCCAGCCCCAATTAAATGTTTTCCTTTATAAGAGTTGCCGTGGTCATGGTGTCTCTTCACAGCAATAAAACACTGACTAAGGTTGAGACAAACAAAACTATTATTTCCTGGAAAATTATGTTCTCTTGGATCCTTTAGGACTCAGCCCTAGCAATGGAGAAGAATCAGCTTGGGAGGTTCTCAAACTAGAGATGGAACACAGAGAATATACGTTTTATTGCTATCCATCTTCAACATCTGCAATTCTCCTCTTATTTTCTGAAATAATCAGAATCATCCCAGCCTGGCCCCTGATGCTCTGCAGGGCCAGCAGGCCACTCCCGAAACAAAGAAAAGCCTGCTGTTCCAGACCCAGCATACATCTGTTCACCCAGCGGATAGCCCCTCCCCTAGCTTTGTGACCATCTCTGTCTCTGCCTGGGCAGGTGTTCCAGAAGGGTAAGGTCAGATTCAAAGAACATTAGCAGTGCCTAGGTGGAACCTATTTCAAACACATGCACAGCTGTCCTGAACATCAGAAAATATTTTTCCAACAGCCCCAAGCCTGTACCACATCTGTCTGATGAATCTACATGTACTACAGATATACGAAAATATATAGGCCTGGTCCCAAAATATCAAGGTAAAGATGTTAATTTTCCTGTAGACCCCAGAGATGTTTTTCTTTGGGGTTTAACCTTTAAACTCAGCATAAAGCCATTTCCCTAGGGATGCCAGAGCTGACTGGGTAACCCAGTTGGTAGTTGGCTATTCTGGGCCTGGGAGATCTCTGGGTACTGAGTACTGTGATCCTAACACTCATGTTAGCGATCTAGACTGAGTTCCTGTCCTGGAGCAGAGGAAGCAGATCTAACTCATTTTGAATTTCTGCAATCCAGCATAGTACTAAGCAAGCAGTAGAGGATTGATAGTGTTTGATGAATGAATAAATGAGATTATTCTTTAAACGTTCAACTCTATACAACAACAACAACCAGACAAATGCATATTTCATTCTACAAATAGACTTAAGAACACAGTCAAAATTTGAACTGGAATTTGAAAAAGAAAAAAAGGCATGCTGTCCATTTTTTTTCTAAGACAGAGAGATGCAATTAAGGATTAATTTTTTTCTTAGTGGCGGCGAAGAATTTTATGACTGTTGGGACCCGCTGATGGTGGTATAATGAAACATCGATTCTGCCTAACTGAGCATGTTTCCAGGGCAACAAAAATTCTCAATCATGTCAAATTACAGCTGTTATCTCCCTGGGTGTCAGCTTTCCCTAGGAAGCTAACTGAAATTGAAAAAGTGTATCTCTAGGTCAAGGTTGGACTTATCTTTGGAGTCATCTGCTTTATCAGAGAGAAAGGAGACAACATGGAAGAGAGCAACCCGCGCAGGACAAAATAAACCTGTCTGGATTCTAGAGAAAAAAGTGGACGCTCAGGCTGAGCGTGCTGGAGACCATACAAGTCTGAACTCGGAACATACCGCGGAGACCCCAGCCTGGCTTCAGAATGATACCTGCGGTTCATCCGCGGGGTGCAGGAGTAAAACGTGGCAAAGTAGGAAGGGGGAGGCACCGGCGGCACAAAGTCATCTGGGTCTGGAATCTGTCCGTGTTCTTCCACTTCTTCCACAGACATCTGGGATTCATCCTGATTGAACAGCAGAACAGGGGGAAAGCAATGGATCACACAGTAGGGGTGGACAGCCAGACCAAGACACCACACAGCACTTCCACACACAGTAGGGATGGACAGCCAGGCCAAGACACTGCACCCTGTTTCCTCACACTTACAATACAAGGCCTTCTGTTTCCTCACACTTACAATGCAAGGCCTTCTGCTGGCGAAGATCTGGAGGTAGCGCAGGGCAGCAGCCACTAAACACACCGTGGTGGTCAGGGCATTCAAGGCACACAGGGCAAACAGAACTTTCTGGAAACAATAAGACCTCTGATCAGAGAGCAGTGTAAAATCATGTCAATAATGCTACCCAAACTGGTAAGCTTCCAAGGAGATGAGGGCAGGGAGTTAGATAACATCTGGCTTCTGAAAGTACTGAATGAAATAGATGCTGGCTAATATTATCCTCAGCCAGAATGTAGATTTCTTAATTTTTTTTTCAAGATAGAGTTTCTCTGTGTGACAGCCCTGGCTGTCCTGGAACTCGCTTTGTAGACCAGGCTGGCCTCAAACTCAAAATCCACCTGCCTCTGCCTCCTGAGTGCTGGGATTAAAGGCATGTCCCACCACTACCCAGTTGATTTCTTAATTTTAAAACCTTACAGTCTCAGCTACTTTGAAGACTAAGGCAGAAGGATCATGAATTCAAATCCAGACTGGGCAATACATTAAGACTGCATAAACAAACAAAAACAAAACCAACCTAGACTGGATAGAGATACACCTATAATCCCAGGACCCTGAGGGTTGAGGCAGGAGGATCTTAGTTCCAGGTCAGACTCCAATTCAAAAAATAAGTAACCTAAAAAAAAAAAAATACCCTCCAGCTCCCTATTTCACAAAGGCCTAGTGTTACATACAGGGTAGTCAGACCTCCATGTTCATGGGGTTCACCTTCCTAGATCCAATGAACCCCAAATGGAAAATGCTCAAAAAAGTACAAGACTATGCGGAACATACACAGACCCTTTTCGTGTCATTTTTTTTCCTTAAATGATATAGCAACTATTTGCCCAATACTTTGCACCAGGTACTGCCTCTAAAGATGGCTCGAGCATACAGAAGAGTGTTCGAGGGTTCTGTGCATACCTATGCCATTTTCTGGAAGGGGCTTGGATGCAACAGAGTTCAGTCTCCTCGGGGGTGCTGAAGCCCACCTCCCAGGGACACAGAGGGACTTTTAGAAGCATCTGAATGCTATCTAGAAATGTTCCTTCCGGAAGGGAAGTGAGAATCTTCTATAATTGGTGCCCCCCACCCCCCCACCCCCATCACCCCCTACAGGGACACAGCACTTCCCAGCACGATGCAATCAGCTTAAGGTGTGGCCACTGCTTCTACTTCGAGAGTAACAGGTAGTGATGCTCCAGGCACCCAACCACACATAGCGGGAACCAGGGGCAGCCAGGAAGTAAACAGGACTTCTTTCCTCAAACTAGCAGCAAAGGCAACACTGTATCTTGCTGGGGCTACAGCCCTGGCTCCTTCAGGGGCTTTCCCCAAGTTAAGTCAGGCTTAGAAGGTTCCAGATGGCTCAGTTACCAAATATGCAGAAGCCAAAGCAAGCAGGTCATTTTTCAAGTCCTGTACTGCACAGAGCTGGCAGCTCTGAAGAGTTCTCTCTGAGTTTCTTCCTCCTCCTCCTCCTCCTCCTCCTCCTCCTCCTCCTCCTCCTCACCAAAACCAAAGATCTAAAGAGAGTCAGCAGTGTTGGCTTAACCAACAGCTAAGGGGTCACCAGCTGATTTCACCACCCACCACAGCCAGGCTGCCGTTGTCCGGCTCCATCATAAAGGCTGGTTTTGCATTCCTCTTTGACCTGAATCTTTTGAGTATTTTCCTAAATTTCTTTCGCTTATTATAATTGTTGCCTATTAAACAAGATACAAAGAACTCAAATGCCTCCTGTATTTTCTGGCTGATCTTAGTCTATCTGCCATAGAATAGCAGCATTCAACAAGTTCATGCAACTCACTACAGTGCCAAGTAAGTGTGCAACTGAGGCGTTCCTCAAAGCCACACCTCAGATGTGTGTATAAACACACACAGATGTACAGTTAGACCCCTTCCAACTTTTCATTTACCAGTTTATATCCTCAAATGCAATGGAATCTCTCCATACTTATTTTAAGATGCAATCGGTGGCCTTCTCTACACTCTTCTGACTGTGGGTCACTAGTGAGGGGTTACTCATACTTGCTCTTAGCAATTTGACTCGTAGAAGGCTGTCACCGAAAGGGACTATCTCAAGGAGCCTTCTTGGCCCCCCTGGTGCATTTCTCAGTGGAGCCTGTGAGCTGTTCATCATACCTTAAGCAGAAGGTGAACAGCACTGCAAGGCTGGACTGGAAAGAGTTTCAAGGCATTTTCTTTGTCTGTGCATTTGGCTGGTTGAAATTCTTCACAACAGAAGCAGATCTTGCCTTCACCTAAGTCCACCTTAAGGAAAGATGCAGAACATTGATTTTATTATGGGGGTGGGAGACATGACATCCAACACTCTAGCTACACCATACAGCATGCATCATACAGGATGTGATGTGTATGGTTCTGTCAGCCAATGTCAGTATCAATTAAGATTTATTTTATTTTTAGTTGAGTGCATGCGTGTGTGTGTGTGTGTGTGTGTGTGTGTGTGTGTGTGTGTGTGTATGTGTGTGTTTGCAATGCCAAAAAAGACCAAAAGAGGGCATTAGATCCCTTGGAGCTTAAGTTACAGGAAGTTGTAAGCCACCCAATGTGGGTACTAGGAAATGAACTCATCTCTCCAGCCCCAAAGTTCATTTCTTGTACATGCTACAAGGCCCCAGCAGGCCAACATGGGGCTCTGTCATATTCCTTTGGGAACTCAGAGTTGTGAAACATCTCCCATCTCGGTGCTGTGGCATGAGTGACATCTAAGACACAGAACATAGTACGTGACACTTAAGGCAGGAATGTCAGATAAAATATAGGACACCCAATGTAAGTGTGAATTCAAACAAACAATTGTCTAAAATTAAAGAAGGTCTCAACCATTGCTTGAGGCATGTAGATAGTAACAAAAAAAAAGTCATTGCAGTTCATCTGAAATTCAAACTCAGTTGAGTATCCTATAATTTTACCAATCAGAGTTAATGTTGCCCGTCACTTTAGCTCATAACTTCATGGCCAAAGTGAATCACATGATTGACATGGATTTCAAGAAGGCAAGAGAATCCCAGTCCACCTCAAGGGTAAGAAACACAGAGTGAATTCTGTGAACAGTAGTCCTGGACCATGTAGAAAGACCTCCCCATGCTCATTCCCAATGCAGGCATAGATTCTTGAGTGAAGTGAAAATGGACGAGTAACCTTGTACATTCTTAATGAGATGCTCTGCAAACTCTTGGCCACGTCCAAATTGTTCTTAAGCAAGCTGAGAAAATATAGAACACCTGGTTTGGGTAAATAAAACCCCGGATGGGAGGACAGAGGCCATCTTTCCTGCTTCTTCTGCAGTCTGAAAGGGTGAGGTTGGCTTTGCTCCTCTTTTTCCAAAAGGGAAGGTTGTAGCTCATTCACTAATTGTTAATTAGGGAGCTCTCAATTCATTAACTGAAAACTCTTCAGAAATCTTCAACGACTACACATTCACAGTTTCAGCTCTTAAAGTGGGGGAGGCTATTTGTCTTACTGAATTAATGTTCTTAACCTCTAGTTGCAGTATTGAGTTTCAGAGTTTTATGAAAATCGGGGGAAAAAATTGGATCTTCATATTGAAATTGAGTAGGAAATTAAAGGAAAAAAAATCCCACTATTGGATTATGTAACATTTGGGGGAATCCGATATTATAGCTTATTTTCTCTTTTGAGGTAAAATTTACATATTATATATAAATTACACTGGGGGGTGTGCATGCGTTTAATCCCAGCATTCGGGAGGCAGAAGCAGGCAGATCTCTGTGAGTTCAAGGCCAGCCTGGTCTACAGAGCGAGTTCTAGGACAGCCAGGGCTACAAAGACAAACCCTGTCTCAAAAAACAAACAAACAACAACAACAAAATGACAAATATACCCATAGTAAGTATATCATTTGAGGAGTTTCAGCAGAGTACTTGCGTAATCCAAGGCCTTCTCAACACCAGCCGTTACCATCATATTGAGAACATCCCTTCATGGCCCTTCTCTGTCAGTCTCTGCCCACTTCCTTTCCAGGGACAAACACCATTCTTTCTTTTCGCTCCTTTAGATTAGTACGGCCCCTTCTAGACCTCCACGGATTCTAACTTTTTTTTATGCTTTGTCATTAAAATCATGTTCAAAAGCATGTGTTATTATATCGATCAGGTTTTTATAGAAATTCTGTTTCTGATAAAGAGGATGAAAATCGGAGTTACCTTGATGGGTTCTACCATTATCTCCACAGTGCATTCCCATAACTTGGTCCTTTCACGATCTGTCTACCGACACCCTAGCTTCAGCAACATTCCCATACCTAAGACCCCACACAGAGTCACGGGGCTGCTTGTATTCGAATTTCCCCACCATTGTCTCACAGTGTTGAGGATAAGTCCCACTGTTAATATTGACACGAATTTCTCACCCTCTAAATGAAAAGGACTATGGCCACTCCAAGAGACTCTCTCTCTAAGCCAGGTTCCACAGGTAGGATGGCTCCTCCACTTCCCAGCATCCCTTTGTCCATCTCCTCCTACAGTCCGTGGGCTGTCTCACATTAAGTTGAACAGTACCAACCACAAGTCAACCTTCCTACAGATGACAACGGACTTCTATTCTGCTTCCTCCTCATGGGAACCAAACTAATTTCCACATGACTCAGGGTGGTTTCCATTTCTGGTCCTTGGTGCAAGCCTCCAGAGGCCAATATTTCAAAGTTCCCTCTGGTAGTACCTGGTGTCGTTTTCCAAAGGATCCCTTCCTCACTAGCCCATTCCTTCTGTAAGGTATTTAGTGAAGGAAGATGAAGGCCAGGGAGAGGGGTGTAACAAGGCTCAGTATCCCACCAGACAGCCAAGTACATGGGGGCTTCTGCTGTCTACAGTCTTTAGGGTGAGCCCAACAGACAGTAAGTTTGCCCAGATGAGTGCAAGCTAATCCCTTTAAACAGGGCTACCTGAAAGTTTAATCACTGCATGGTCATGAATGACAAGTACTGTTCCTGCTTGCCACAAGGAAGTCCTGAGGCTTTGTGCAATTGACAGTCAGCAACAGTGCATTTCGTGTTCCTGTTCCTTCCCCCGCCCTTGCCAACCGAACACCTACACCTTCACTTTTAATGCCCGCTCTGCTCAGTGTGACTAAAGATTTGTTCCCATTTCTCTTCAAATGCTTTAAGTCATCTCAAAAATACCTTTAAACCTTTCCCCAATTCCAAATGCTAAATTTCCCCCTTCGACCTCAAAGTCATTACTCATGGTCATGGTGTTTTATCACAGCAACAGAAACCCTAAAAAGTACCAGTCCCTTTCAGACTAATAAACTTCAGGTCTGACCGACCACTGCTGTGCCTCTCTTATGATACAGAACATAGACTTTCTATTTCACCTGAAGACGTTCACCTCACACCAACTGGTCAGCTATTGCTAATCACTATCATTTAAACAGAAAGCTTTAATGCTTGTTTTAAAATTTGTGAAGAATGTGAGAAAGAACAGCAGGTTTTTGTGAGTCCCTGGGGAGCTTTCCTGATTGGGAAGGTTATGGGGTTCACTACAAGGGCTGAGCCTCAGTTTTTCTCGTAATAAGTCAGCCTTATTGGCTTGTATCCTCTTAGTTTCTATAAGGTAGATTTCAATGGGACAAAATTCCAAGTAAATAAGATTTACTATAACCTATTCATAGTCCACCCCTGTTGCTTTGTACTAAATGAGACATTAATTACTTCTACCCCTTTTTCAAGGTTTAGATACCCAGAAATTCCACTTTGGAGTAACAAGCCCAAAAGAACTGACTGCAGAGCTTGGGAGAGACATTTGTGCACTCCTGGTCACATCAGCTTTATACACAATGGACAAAAGGCAGCAACAGAGATCCATCCACAGATGATGGACAAAGTGCATCATCGGTACGGCCAATGGAGAATTACTCAACCTTTAAGAGGAAGAGAATTCTGACACAGACTATACTATGCCTATACCCTGAGGACATCACCCATAGAAAGACAAAACTGTGTCATTCTATTTATATGAACTTCTTTGGAGTACCTGAATTAATAAAATAGAGAATGGGATATTGGCAGCTGGGGAGGGGATGCTGGAGATCCAGGAAGAGCTCTGGAGACTATTTTCACAGCAGTGTGAATGTACATGACACTACTGAACTGTACATATACAAAGGTTAAAATGGGTTTTTCATGAGCACTTCACCACAATTTATAAAAACTACCTATTTGGGTTGTTTTTGTTTGTTTGTTTCTCTGTTTGTTTTTGTTAGAGACAAGGTCTCTCTACACAGCCCTGGGTGTGTTGGAACTCACAGAGATCTGCCTGCTTCTGCCTCCTGAGTGCTGGGACTGAAGGCGTGTGCCTCAATGCTGACTCAATAAAACCTGTTTTAAGCCAGAAATTCTGTAAATTCACAACCTCTTGTCCACAAGGATGAGATCTACAAAGCTTTGAAAACCACAAGTTTTGATTACAGCCTCCTGTCCCAGACCCCACTGACATGCTACATTATAATAGATGGCCTAGGCCTCATATTTCTCTTCCAAAATCTCCAAAATCCTGATACACACTTGGCCTCCAAAGCTTTCAGATAAAGGATCTTTGACCTGGATTCTGGTAATATCCATCTTTGCTCTTTAGATGCACAGGCACATCGATTGTGGAGACCTGATCCATCTATCCTCTACCTAGCAGCTTCCAGGGTTATACTGGCCACTTGCTACTCTGGCCAAATGACCGACAACTGAGGAAGGTACTTAGCAGCAAGCTTCTCCTGGCTTGCTTTTCCCAGTCTGTGCATGTTGCACACCAGTGAGGCCGACAGTCCAGGCCCCGCCCCAAGTGTGGTGACGCTGCAGAATGCTTACCAGGTCACATCTGGGCACACTAGACACAAACTGTGCTCCTTGACAGCCTAAGATGAATCCTGCAAGATTTAAGAGGATGCAAACCACAGAGAGCAACACGAAAAGATTTACCTGCAACGAGATAGAAGGGGTGCTTAAAAAAGAGCGCGGCTAAACATGCAGATGGTTTTGTGTACAGATACATATTAAGTACATACATTTACGCCAGACATTACCTTTCAGACGGAAGCTTTAAGGAAAAAGTCAAAACGTTAAGAAACAAAGTGAAGTCATATTTTAATTTTTTGCATATTTTTAAGTGTTGTGCACTCTCCAGTCTTCACAACAATCTCAGGTCCTTATTTTCTTCCTCTTTGCAAATATTTTTTCCTTCTTGATCTTTTATCTGTATCTTACACTAGGCTCCAGCTATTTCCTCCTTGGGCCATTCAGGCTTTGCCTGAGTTTTGCCAAATCAGTAACTGTAGGAGGCAGATGGAGAGCCCCAGGGTCTAAGTTGACTACAGGAAGAATAAGAAGCTGAGTCATTAACACCCAGAAATCACAGTGTACAGATTAAAGTAAGTAGAGAGGCTCTTGCTTCAGTCCAAAACAGTTTAGGTTCTAAAGAATGTGCAAAAATCTTCCATGAACTTTTTTCTAAAGTTAAAAATAGTATCAAACAATTAAGGACTGACCAGAGTCAACCAAAAAGTCAGTATTTGCTTGGTACCAATTAGAGATTAAACGTGTCTTTCAACTTGAGAACTGATTACTAGGAAAAAATGAGACCTTATCAAAAACAAAAGCAAATATAAAACCTCAGAGTCAGTAATTATCAGTACTAAAGCCAGTCATCAATCTAGATAGCTGATAACATCAGAGATGTCTGGCAAACGGGTTTACCCATAAACTTTAATATACCAAAAACATCTTCCTTAACTACTGTTCTTATTTCAAGTCAGAGCGGCAAGATCCTCAGATGCTGTGGGATGGTCTGTATGGCAAATGTGTTGCTCTGATTGGTCAATAAATAAAACACTGATTGGCCAGTGGCTAGGCAGGAAGAATAGGCGGGACTAACAGAGGAGAAAAGAAAGAACAGGAAGACAGAAGGAGTCACTGCCAGCCGCCACCATGACAAGCAGAATGTGAAGATGCCGGTAAGCCACGAGCCACGTGGCAAGGTATAGATTTATGGAAATGGATTAATTTAAGCTATAAGAACAGTTAGCAAGAAGCCTGCCACGGCCATACAGTTTGTAAGCAATATAAGTCTCTGTGTTTACTTGGTTGGGTCTGAGCGGCTGTGGGACTGGCAGGTGAGAGAGATTTGTCCTGACTGTGGGCCAGGCAGGAAAACTCTAGCTACACTCAGACCTATTCTGTGAGTTAACAGTTAACATGATGCCACTTTCCCTGGAGGAGATGGGTTTCCTTCTTTCTCTGCAATGGAACTTGGCTTCTTTCCTTTTGCCGTTACTCTGCACAAATGCCATTGTCAAATTTTTGTGAAATCCCGTGGGACCTGCTGTTGTGACTGTCACAAGCTGGCGTCCCCACTGATGTGAGCAGCATGCAACACCTGCCCTTTGCACTGTATCGTTCATGCCAACGTTCACGGGGAAAGAAGGTTGCGGAACTGGCCACGGGCGGAGTGCAATCTTCCCACATAGCCAGTTGCTGTCTGCAGAGCTGTAATGTGTCTGCAGTCTTCAGACCCAGCAACACAACTAGTGTGACCACAGGGAAGATTTAAATTTGGCTCTGGAAGATTTCTTTTATTTCAAGATAAGCTACCTTCAGAAGAAAATGTGGTTATGGCCTGTATCCCCACCAGCATAATCACTAATATTTATCACTAAAAATTAACACCATTGCATAGAAAATGCATGAAGATCCATCACTCCCAACACTGGAGCCCAAAACTCAGCAGAGTCTTAAGCTCATCAAAAAACACAATAAAATCAACAAGTATATCACAGACTAGGAGAAAATACTCTCATGAACATAAAATATTTTACTTAAACATCTCTCTCTCTCTCTCTCTCTCTCTCTCTCTCTATATATATATATATATATATATATATATATATATATATATGTTTGTGTGTATATACAGGTGCATGTGTATATACATACATGTGTACACATGTAGATGGAAGCCAGAGGACAACCTTGGGTATTTTTCTTCAGGCACCACAGATCTTATTTTTAGGGTCTCTGGCTGGAGCTCACTGATTTGTCTAGCTTGACTGGCCAGTGCCCCTCAGGCATCTGCCTGTCTCTACCTCCCCAAAGCTGGAAGTACAGTACAACATCATGCCTCATTTTTTTACATAGGTTCTGGGGCTTGAACTTGGATCTCATGCTTACAGTGTGAGCCCTTTACTAGTTGAGTTATCTGTCCAGCTCCACCATAAATATTTTCATGATACATCTGCATGTAGAACATAGAATAACTACAATGTAGACAAAAGACCTAGGCAAACATTTTACACACACACACACACACACACACACACACACACACACACACACACACAGTGGCAGGGGGGATTAGAATGCAGAACAGCCAAGAAGTACATCAAAAGGTATTCAACATCATTAGTCATCATGAACGGAAAGTCATAATGAGACACCACTCCATACCATCATAAATGGTTAAGTTTTCAAAGCCAACAATGCCAAGTGTTGCTGAGGATGAGGAGCATTTAGACATTGTTATGTGAACAGAAAATAGTGCCATCACTATAGAATAGTCAGTTTCTCAAAAACTAAATAGAAATCTCCCATGTAGAAGTATCACAAATAATTCATGAAGATACTTCACCCTCCAGTCTCTACTCCATGAACTTGCACAGGATGACTTCCTCCCAAAAAATAGAGCATCCAAGAGGAAGACAAGTAATTCCCCATCAGAGAAACCAACAAACACTCCATCCACCAGGTGACATCGTTTCAGCAGCATGGGACCTCAACAAGATGGACTGGAAATAGTACTTTGCAACTGTGATCCTCCTCCTCTTCTTCCTTCTCCTCCTCCAAACCCATAATAGCCTCCATCAAATCCTGAGAACCACATCAGACAATCTCAGTCTTGCAAAAATACCCAATAAGCATCCCTCCAATCTGTCAATGTTGTCCCAGGGAACAAGGGAACCCTGAGAAGCTGCCTCAGCCAAGAGGAGCCTCAGCTGACCTAACAGTTATGTAATGAGGTCTCTTGGATGGGATCCCAGACAGAGGCAGACAGATGATTCACCTGGGAATCTGATGAGTAGGATCTTTAACTGACCATACAGTATCACTACTGATTCTAGCTTGTGACAAATATATCATTCTACAGTAAGATGCTAATAACAGGGCAAAGTCAGTTTAGAGTCCTCAGAGGACCTCTTCCAGAGGCAGCATTGAGTTCCAGGGAACTACTGGATTATGAGGGACACACAGGTCTCCCAGGTGGGCTCCTCTGGCTTTACCCTGTGATGGTGTGACCTCCAAGACCTGCATCTCCATCCTGACTTTCACTGATGTTGCACCACCACCAACAAACACTAGGAAACACATCAGCTGTCAATGACACATGTTAGTGTCACAGAAGCCACCCAGGAAGGGGAAATTTTTCTAATGTTTCTTATATTTTAATCATTCTTTCCTTAAAAATATCACTGCAGGTGATGTGAGTCTCTCTTTACAGAATTCTGAAATGTGGGGCCAGGATCCAGTGCAAATTTGCAAGACTCACTTTCCCTGTCTGTTAAATGGCTCTGTGTCCTTACCAATCTCAAGAAATTAATGTGTTATACAAATTTTCCTATCTTAAAGCCCTTTGAAAAATACTGTACACACACTTTTATTACTAAGAATAAAGGAAAGGAAAGCTAGGCACAGTGGCACAAGCCTTTAATCCCAGGACTTGGTGTGGTGATATTGTGTTCCCCAATATATTGTGTACCCTAATAAACTTATCTGGGGTCAGAGAACAGAACAGCCACTAGATAGACATAGAGGCCAGAAAATGGTGGCACACACACTTTTAATCCTAGCCTTCTGAAGGTAGAGATCCATCGATATCTGTGAGTTTAAAGCCACACTGAAAATAGCCAGGCATGGTGACATACACATTTAATCCCAGGAAGTGATGGCAGGAAGCAGAAAGGTATATAAGACGTGAGGACCAGGAACTAGAGCCTGGTTAAACTTTTAGCTTTTAGCAGCAGTTCAGTTGAGATCCTCTGAGGACTCAGAGGCTTCCAGTCTGAGGAAACAGGATCAGCTGAGGAGTTGTGGAGGTGAGGTTGGAAGTGACTCGTTCTGTCTCTCTGATCTTTCAGCATTTACCCCAATACCTGGCTCCAGGTTTGTTTTTATTAATAAGACCTTTTAAGATTCGTGCTACAACTTGGAAGGCAGAGCCAGTTTGATCTCTGTGAGTTCAAAGCCAGCCTACTCTATATAGTGAGGCTACATAGAGAGACCCTGTCTTGAAAAAAATAAATGAATACAAAGAATAAAGGAAATTCCTGCTTTGGAGGAGGCAGCGTGTTATAACAAAGTAAGTTTTACAAGAATGTCCCTGGGCCTGGCACCAGCTTTTCACTCTTTAGTCTGAGCTCCCCTTCCCACCCTCCCTGCCCTGTCCATCTGTGGGAACATGCTCTGAGGACCACATTAGGGGACTTCTTTGCCTTTGGGCTCTAGTTCAATTCAGTCATGGAGAAGTCATGACAGAGACCATGAGGAGAAAAGCGAGGGAGGCTGTGGTCATCCTGCTCCTTCTTTACATCTCCGACCAACTCAGCCCTCAGGGAGAGCCATGAGCCCTCTCTGAGGTCCTGCCCAGGATGTTGTCTTTCAGGTGCTGACCATAGCTCACCCCCTGCCACCCAGGTTGACAGAACAGGAACAGTATGCTCCTCCACAGCATGCCTGAGTTCTTGGAACAGTCCCTTTCTTGACCTCATGCCTTATTCTAATTCCGCCATGTGTCTTGTGCTGGGAGCCTGACACAACTTCTCTACAAAGTCTGCCTGTATTTAATCCAGGCTTTCTACTCTTTGAGCTCAGACCTTTGCCCTCAAATGAGTCTTCATCTGTCTAGTGCCACAAATTGAGCCCGTGAATTCACA